ATACTTTGCCAAAAATTGACAAAAAAGATTTCCCATGCGTGACTTTTCCAGTCAAATTCGAAGATGATTGAAATAAAATAACAAGTTTACAAAACAACTAGTTTTTTTATTAAAAAAAATTATATATATACATTATAGCAATTATATATACATTTTTTGTTTCTATACTATATTGTAAATTGTACAATAATAAAAAATGAAATTTGTATTTACATTAAAGTTTTCGTACTTCTCCCGTGAATGCGTTGTATTCCATTTGACAGTCGTGAATAATTACACAATACAATGATGTTTTATCGGGAAACTGTTTGGAGCATTCGAAATCCAAGCGTAGATCAACCGTTGAAGACTTGACGGTGTCGTTTTGTTTAGAACAATCAATCACGACTATAGGTCCACGTTTTTTGTAATTTATATAGTCCAATAAAGGATAGGGGTCTTTACGACCGTAATACATTGTCTGGAATTGTGCGTACGAGTTATAAAACGTTGTGTACTTGTTGTTGTCGAAATCGGCGTTTTGGTTCTCGTACGGGTATTCGTCAGCGTTCAGATACGCTTTGACGTTTCTCAATGAACAGTGATAGAAATCTCCGAGAACGTGTTCGTCCTCATTACCCATGACAATAAGTAAATATCTAGGTTTTTCCACATTCGAATAGATGCGCACCGACCACGTGTGATGAGTTGTCTGCGGTACCAATAGGTAAATGGCAACGTCCCAGTGTTGAAATTCTAACGGGAGCCATTACTTGCTGTCCAGAATACGCATCAGACCCAGTTCAGTTTTCACCCTTCTGATGTTTCAAGATATCATTATCCGGAATAGTTCGTTATAAGGTGTTCAGCTCGCGTGAGTCACTTTCTTACAGCTCGGGTCAGGTATGGACAACGAGAGCCTGAGAAAGTTTGAGGTCAATTGAAAACTTGCAACCGATATTTTCCCAATGGAGGTGGCATATGATGTACAAATCTTCGTGTCTATTGGTATGCACACGATGAAACTTTGTTATGTAAAAAATAATTTGAAATAGATGAAAATGTCATATGTTAAAATTTGGCCGACTTATGACCAGACAGCAAAACATACATAAAAAATTTAACGTGTAATATATTTATCGTTTCCCGCCGTGAACGTGGGCAATTAAATTATGATTCTTTTTTTTTTTTTTTTAGAACAATATATTAACATACGATGCGTCATAATGCAATGATGATTACTACAATAACATGTGTGCGTTATTGTTCTGCTCACGGGAACATACAATAATGGTTAGATGTTTCAATACAACAGTAATTTCATTTTTTTAAATATCATTATTAGTAACCCAACATTTAACACATGAATGGAGTACTACACAAGTTTTAGTTTAAAAATTCAATTTAGATGGTATTTTTATGTATTGTCCACGATTGTTGAACTATTATAACAGAACAATAATTGTTATGCAATAACATCAAAAATAAATATGGGCATTAAAAATATATAATTACAGTCTATAGCTTTATTTTTTATAAAACGCATTTAAGTTTTGTTATCTTCAATACTACATTTTTATAAATTAAACTGATAAATCATATTTAATATAAATTTTAGATTTTGCTTTGTTCAAAAAATTATATATATGACTAAAAATAAGCAATGTTTTTGTTATTTATGTTACATAAAAACAAAAATTAACAGTATTACTATATATTAAATGACAAAAAATAAGAGTCAATGAATTTTTTAAGCGTAATATCTTCAACTAAATACGAATTGTAATCATTTGACGTATAGTTGAAAATAGTAGGTCGAGTGTGGGTTGGCTAAATAAATCGTAGCCACAAAAAGAACCACATAGTAAAATAATATTATTAATATTATTCTTTGAGTTTAATATTTTTAATATTTTTTAGTTTTTTTAAATTAATNTAAAAATTCAATTTAGATGGTATTTTTATGTATTGTCCACGATTGTTGAACTATTATATCAGAACAATAATTATTATGCAATAACATCAAATAATAAATATGGGCATTAAAAATATATAATCACAGTCCATAACTTTATTTTTTATAAAATATAAAAATAAGTTTTGTTATCTTCAATACTATATTTTTATAAAATAAACAGGTAAATCATATTTAATATAAATTTTAGACAGTATTACTATATATTAAATGACAAAAAATAAGTGTTAATGAATTTTTTAAGGGTAATATCTTCAACTAAATACGAATTGTAATCATTTGACGTATAGTTGAAAATAGCAGGTCGAGTGAGAGTTGGCTAAATAAATCGTAGCCACAAAAAGAACCACATAGTAAAATAATATTAACATGAATAAGAAATTTCTTCTCACCAAGGGGGACTATAGTGATGGGATACTTGATATTTATTGAAGTTATTAAATCTAAATGAGATAAAAATCAAATGATTTAAAAATTTTTTATAAAAAAAATGCAAAATATAATTTGCCACAGGCGAATTCGAACCTCGTACGCTAAGTGTGAAAGACACAAGTGTTACCGATTCGGCAACTGTTCGTTGCTTTTGTCGCATGATAAAATTAGCAATTTAAGCTAAGTTAAATTTAAAAATTACTTTTTCGACTGTTGTGGTTCAGGTGGTAATTATATTAAATAAATAAATAACCAAATAGTTAGATATTACTTTAGCATATATTTTAAATTATTATACATAAGAGTATATAAAAAACAATATCAGTTCCCAAGAGGAAGTCACAATGGACAAAATGTTAATGATATACTTGGTGCATCACCGGACCGGTTCTCGTCACCCTTGGTCACTCGGCGTCGCGTGACCTGTCGGACGAGGAGAGGTAGCTGTGTCGCAGTCGCCATCCAGCGGTAAAGCCAGAAGTGCAATGCGACCGCGTCACGACTTTAAAAAAGTAAAAAAATTTTAATAAGTTTAATATATTATGTCTTATGAACTTTATTCTATGTCAATTAAGTTATATAATATTCATGAATGTAAGTGTATTCCCCTTGTACGATATTTTCAAATAAAATAAAATACAAAACCCAGAATTTTAACACAAAAATAGCATATTTTTGAATACGGTAGTCATTTTCACCAAGAAGACAAGTCCAGAGGTCAAATTTTTTTTTTTCAAATTAAAGTATATTACATAAGCTTTAATTTAAGATATATATAAAAGTGTCAGTCTTTCCGGAACATTTTCAAAAGTTAANAGATTAAATAAAAATTCCAATGAGGCTGAATAGTAAATTCTACAAGACTGTGAGGCCAGTTATGATATATGATTCAGAGTATTGGGCAATTGATAAGAAAGTAGAGCAGAAAATGAGTGCAGCAGAGATGTGAATGCTTAGATGGATGAGTGGAGTGACTAGAGAAGATAAGATAAGAAAATGAGCATATAAGAGGGAGTATAGGTGTAGCGTCAATTGTGGATAAGATGAGAGAAAATAGACTTAGATGGTTTGGTCATGTTATGAGGAGAGAAAAATCGGAAGCCATAAGAACAGTTTTAGATATTAATGTTAAAGGAAGAAGAGGTAGAGGAAGACCAAAAATGAGATGGAGAGATGTTATTGAGTGCGATATGAGGACAGCTGATGTGGGAGATCATGTCAAGTGGAAATTTAGGATAAGGGTGGCCGACCCCTAGTAGTTTGGATTAAGGCAAGGAAGAAGAAGAAGAAGATTAAATAATAATAAATTTAATTTTTATATATTATATTTTATGAATCCTTTCCCTTTTTATTATATATTAATATAGGTTTATTATACAACCATATTTACAAAAGAATAAATTTCTCCTAAAATAATTATAATTTTGAAAAAAAAAATTTCCCGTTGTTTGATATTATTATTTAAGCCATTAAACAATGTTTAAGTCTATCACTTGTAATTTTGAATAGGTTAAAAAAAGTTTTTTGTAACTACATTATACTACAAGTTGTATGCGTCAGGAAAAACGTAAGCAATTTTATTCTAAATTACTCTATGATACTATTAAAAAATGTTAGTATACTTATAAAAGACAAGATATGGACACCAAAATATTATTTACTTAACAATTGAGAATAAAAAAATATTTATATGTAATAATTATTTATTACTCTTAAAACTAATTATGATGTAGAGTTAAATTTTGCCAAGGGCAAGCTTTAAAATTATAATCCCACAATTTATTATGAATGAAAGCTTTATGATAAAGTAGGAATTTAAAAAAACCCAAATTTATTTAAAAGAAGTTATATTACATACATATTATTTTTTCTTATTTAAAACTTTCATGAATGAAATACAAAGATTAAGTTAAAAAAAAAAATCATCAATTTAGGTATACTAGTATGAAAAGGGAGTTTTGTGTTAAGTTAATTAAGCATTAAATAGCAAAAAATTATCAACTATATTTCACTAGTTTTCTCAAAAAATATATTAGAGATCTTTTTTTATAATCATAATATGGTTGATTATGTATTCCTACTGCTACTTAGGCATATTGTGATAATATACCACAATTATTACGATACATATTTTCTTTGAATTTTATAAGTCTCATATAAATTTATTGAAATCAATTTATACATTTATAAGCTAATATATTACGAAACAAATATTACTAATGAAGTTTTACTATAATTTTATAAACAATTAGTAGGAATATATTTGTATTTACGCACCCGTTTTTTTTTTACAGAATTATAAGAATAAATTTTAGATTTATCTACCTCAAAATCATCGAATACGTTTTTTTTAACTCTGAAATGAAATATAGCTATAAAATAATTATAAATACACGATTATGCTCAAAAATAAATATATTTGAATAAATAATAGATAAACCATTATCAAGTGACATGTTAATAAATACAAATAAAATTTGAAAAACATTTTAATAATAAATAGTACACTTTAATGAATTTTAAATTAATAACGTATATAATAACATATATTACAATATATAGCAAGAACTGTACATTATATAACTATAGAATTTAAAAAAATATTACTATATTTTAATGACTGAAATCCTTATAATAAAGTTGTAGTATAGTGAATAATAAAAAAAAAGATTTATTTAACAGACATTATATTTGAATAAATCATATACATACATATTAATTTTTCTGATTTTTGAACTTTAATGAATAAAACACAACGATTAAGGCAAACAAAATTTATCATCAACGTAGGTATATTAGTATGAAAAGGAAGCATTGTATCGAATTAATTCAGCATTAAATAACATAGATTTGAGATAATATGTACTCTAATGTACATATTTTCTCTGAATATTATTTTAAACAATTAAAACAAATATAATTAATGAAATTTTACTACATTTTTATAAACAATGAGTAGGAGTAAATTTGTATTTACGCACCCATTTTTTTTTCTTATAATTATAAGAATAAATTTTAGATTTATCTGACTCAATATCATCTAATACGTTTTTTTTCATCTCTGAAATGAAATTTTTAATATTATTATAAATACATGAGTAACCAAATGATATACATATATATATACAATATAATAATATAAAAAAATATAATAGAATAAAATTAATACTATAGTATTTACCAAGTCACTTTTGACAAACGTAAATTTTAAAGTTTTTCGTAATAAATAATTAAACGGCAACTTCTTTTATTTATTAAACAATGATTTTATTATGAAAATGATTCTTTTGACTAGTATTTCAGGAATTATTGATAAATTTATATTTTGATGAGAGGGAGAGTACGACCGGGAAATGATTTGATATAAAAATAGCAGCATCCACACTAGTAGTCATAACTTTAAATTGCTAAGAACTTCTGAAATATTAATTTAAAGTTTTTATCGAACAGTTATTTTCTTTATTAGAAATTTATCTAATAATGCACTGTGACAAAAAGAAAAAATAGTAAGCCGATAACAATAAAATTTTATTGCGGTGTATAAAACACACTTAATTTGGACGCAAAGGTCCACAATCAATCCCAGTCTTCAGTATACGTAAATGTGGCAAAAATAACTTCAGGTTTTTTATAAACCTGTCATTTTTAATGGCAAACCAATAAATTAAAGGAAGAAAAAGTAAATGAAAAGTGTAAAGAATACACAAATAAAATTAAAATACAAGAAGAACAAGACATTAACATTAGATGGACTAATCTGAGAAAAACAACTACAAACTCTGATAATGAAACAATAACAGAAGCAAAAAGCAAACTACTCAGAAAGCAATAGAAAACGCAAGAGATAATTGAAATGATATAAGAGAGAATAAAATATAAAAACTTAAATACTGATGAATATCAAAGAAAATATAGAACTTTAATAAACATAATTATAAGGAAATCAAAAGCAGCAAAAGAAAAATACCTAGAAGAAAAATGTGAGCAAATATACATTTTGATGAGAATGGACAAAAGTGAAGAAGCATATAAAACAGTAAAAAAGTTCTTTGGAGTAAGTACACCCAAATGTGGAGCAATAGAAAATAAAAATGGAAAATTGTAATTTTCCATAAATAATTATTTATGAGCAGGAACAGATTGTAGATAAATGGAACGAATACATAAAAGCACAATATGACGAAAGAGAACTAGTTGTCACAGGTTAAGAATAAATAAATGATATGGAGCAAGATGAAGAGTATGTAGAACTTCCGGTACTTAGAGAAGAATTTGACAAAGTATTATAAGACTTAAAGTCAATGAAAGCTGTATGAATAGATGAGATCCAAGCCAAGCTTTGGAAGGAAACAGGAGAAAATATGGTGAATGAATTATTTAAACTCTTTAGACTTTGTGAAGATTTTAGGAACATTGGATTAGATGATGGAAAAAGATTTACATATAGTAAAGACAATAACACAAAAACAAGAATAAAATTAAAGAACGATGAAACTGTAGGTCAAGTAGAAGATTTCTTATATTTGGGTAGCACTCAAATAAGCTCATAGAGCGAATTCAAAAAGAAAATTATTAAGAGAATATCCCAAACTAAGGTGGCATTTAATAAGAAAAAAAGTGTTTTTACTTCAAAAAACATTGACGTTAATATTAGAAAGAATCTACTAAAAATATACATCTGGAGCATCATGTTATATGGATGCGTGACATGAACTTATGCAAGAGAAAAAATGAGAAAAATAAAGGCATTTTAAATGTGGTATTACAGGAGGATGAAAAGATAAGTTNTGTGGTATTACAGGAGGATGAAAAGATAAGTTGGAATAGTAGAACTACTAACGAATACTAAGCCAAATAGCAATTGTACCCCTTCCTAGCAGTATGAAATACTCACGATAACTACAATTAGCCCACCTTTACTGTCTCAATTTAACGCCATCAAAATTCCCCCTCTCCACAATTTCGTTACTATGCTAATTGTAATAACCAATAAAAAGAGCGCTAAGGGAGAGAGTGAGAGAGTGATGGTGAAGTTAGATAATATAAATAAATTAATAGNGTTCAAATTTATATTGACTATTTTTCCAGAAAATTACTTTTGATCAACTATGAGTAATAATCCAAAGGATAAAGTAGAAGAAGATGGAAATTTGGGACTTTATAAACTACAATGCGAAATTTGAATTAATATTACGTAAAACGACATACAAAATAGGGATATGTTTATAGAACACTTAAAACTAAATAAAAATGTAAATAATTACAAAGATAATATAAAGGAGGCAATGAAAATGTTTGATTAGGTGATTAGGTCACTAGAATTATAATGAAATATTATTCGGATGAGGTTGGGTTAATATTGTAATAGTAATATTGTTCCAAAAATAAAAATATGCAATGATTTTGTGTTTTTTTTTTTTAGTTTAATATTTTTAATAATTTTTAGTTTTAAATTAATATTTTAATCAATATTATTAACTTTAAATTAGATTACCAAAAAGTGATTAATTTATATTATATGTTACCTAAGTAATTGAATTGATTTTGCTCATTTGTATACTTTCCGAGTAGCCTATTTAGACGATCGTCCTTATTTCGGCCATCAAAAAATTTGCAATTAAAAATGACTTCTTTTGCATATTCTTTTGACACGAAACCATTTTGTTTTTCATCACCTTTACGCAATTGTTCGAAAAAAGCATCTTCAATCATTTTCATAAAATTAAATGTTTTCTTAGCAAGTTGTAAAAGATCAACCATTACACCATCTGAGTAATTTCCTAAAAAATTATATTAAAATTAAATATTAACCTGTGCATCAGAATAAAAATTGAACATAAAAAAATTCGAGTACTATTTGGCTCCTCGATAAATCTAATATTATATAAAATAGTCATGAAAACACTAATGTAACGTTTAAAAGTGATTTTTTTTTTATTTTTGAAGCTTTTGAATAATTTTTAAATGTTTGCAAAGAAAAAATACGTTTTATTCCAGATAACATAACATTTATAATAATATCTGATCTCTTAAACAATGCTCATATTAACGCTATGTTTTATAAATAGACACTGATCTAAATTTAAAAACATTAATTGGCTTAATGTATTATTTTATTCTCTTGTTAGGTCTATATTAGAACTTACCTCAGATGAATAATTTAGAATACTCATTATATTAATTTTATTGATTAAATTGAAAATATCAAACAACGCTTTTTAAAAATATTAGCACACAAATTATGGCAGCTACATATCTCTCTAATTATTTTAGCTTAATAATTGGATTTAGAATAACTGGTATCTAGAATGTTATATAACAACGTACTTTTATTCATAAATTAATGAGTAGTAAATTATCCTGTCCAGAATTTCTAAGCCAAATAAACTTTGAAATTCCAACCATGACACGACTACGATCGTATAGCATGCAAGAAGACGACACAGTTTTTTTCTACAAGAACAAAGTGGTGTCAGCTGTTTATTTTAGTCCACAATAACACAAGAATGTTTTAATATTTTCATATATATATATCACTATTACAATTAGGTATAATTTACTAACTTGAAAAAAAATTTAAAGTACTATTACAGTTATATTAGAATAATATAACAAAAAAAACAAAATGAAAATGAATTTGATGAAGACGTCGGCGGACCGTATCGTGCGGTGTCACAAAGATTACTCAATCAACGTATATTTGTGGCGGCCCGTCGACGGACGTGCGGTACTTGACGGACTTTGTACCGTGGCGTATCGCGCGTGGTATTAGTCAGTCAAACTACCACATTCACATAGTTTGGCGACGGCTGATTAGCGGGCTCCGTTATCAAGATGCGACGCGGGACCATGCCAACCATTATTCTTGAAAGAGTAATAAGTTTTTATACCTCAATGCTCAAACTTAAATATAGACCTGAGTTTTGTATTTTAGTAGCATGTAAAAATGAACTTAATTTTGATTTTTTCTCAACTTAAATTAAAACATTTAATATTAAATTGTAATTTAGTTTATAATTATATATTAAAATTTATATTAAGATATAAATTAAAGTTTAATTTTTTTCTAAATAGAAAATTAAAAATTAATTAAGAAATAAGAGATTTTATATTTGCGCATGTTGAAAGTTATTATATAGCTAATTAGTAAAATAATTAAGTAAATAGTCAAAAAAGTAAAAATTCCTTGCATAGTGGTAACGCCGCAAAGATGGGACATAGAAGTATTGATGATATCTGAACGTGATTAACGATACCATCATGACAATCGCTTCAATGTAAATCTATTCAATTTCATAATTTGTATATATTTCTTAATTTTACAATTTGTATGATTTAAAATTTTACTCAAATATTGTTTCATAATTTTATTGATTGAAAATAACGTATTTTTTTTTGCTTTGACATTTTTCGTAAATCCAATAAAAAAGGATTTCATTTAATAAATAAAACAATATTATTTATCATAACATATTTATAGTCTTACCGTGTAACAATTATAAAAAAAAAATAGTAAAGCCAAATATTGACTGGATCAAAAGTTGGTAATTTCATATTTGTTTGTAAAACAAATATTGATACTCAATATAAATTGTATCACGACATCCTTTTATTTCACAAACAAATTAATTTTTGTGTATTTTGTCATTTGTTTTCAAAATTGACTATTTTATAACATATTTTTTGTATTTATCAAAAAAATAATGTTGAAAATATATATCAGTTCCTTAATATAATATAATCGCTCAAATTTCTGAACTTTAACTTGAAAATGTTAAACTAAGTAATGAAATTGTGGCGCTAAATACTAAGCTAGGTAACTTTGAAACTCGGAATTGTTAGCCTAGACGTTTACTAGTTGGTCTAGTCTTGCAGGAGATTTTTAAGCGCGAAAGGTGTTCCTGTAATATAATTGTGTATGATGTACCTGAATCCTTGTCTTCTACTATTAATGAGAAAATTACTAACGACAAAAAGTCTATTTGTAATTTCCTACAACCTCTTGGTTTGGAAATTAATACGAGTTCTAAAATAATTTGGCTTGATAAACTTCGTCCTGGAACTAATCGTCCTATTAAAATTATAAGTGATGCCAAAGAGACAGTAACACTCCTACTTATTGAATTAAACTCTCGTAAATGTTCTGGTAATCACTCCTTTAGAAATTTTCGTTTTGTACGCGATAAAACTCTTACGCGTCGTCAATCGCTACGCTCCTGTCACGAAGAACTGGACATGAGAACTCGTAATGGTGAATCAAACTTGAAGATTGTATATATTAATGGTGAACCTTAAGTTGGAACTTATGGTTACTCTCCCAGAAAATGGAAAATGTCGACTACAAACATCTCAAGCATAACTAATTTGTTTACCAGATTACCCGTCACTAGATTCTACCAAAATTGCTGTGGCCTTCGAACAAAACTAAGTAATTTTAAATGTAATGTTCCTTCTATTAATTGTTTGTTAGTAGTGTTAACTGAAACATGGTTTACTGATGGTATACATTGTAATGAACTAGGTATGGTTAATTATAATTTATTCCGTTTTGATAGATACATTCAGAGTAGTACTCATTCGCGCGGTGGCGATGTACTCATTGTCATAAGAAAAGATATTCCTTCGTCTCGTTTAATTAGCCCTTTTAATAATGTCGAACAAATATTTGTTCAGTTCTCAATTGGTTCAGATAAATTTATAATTGGAAGTATTTATAGTCCTCCAAATTCCAGTTCTAGTATTTATGATACACATGCACATACTATAGAGATCATTTTTCAGCAATACGCAAACTATACTTACATTCTTTGTGGAGACTACACTTTGTCTGAAATTACCTGGTATGATGATATTTGTTTACTTTACACATATACTTCAACTCCCCATATACTTCTAGTATTTCTGAAATCTTTATAACTCTTAACTTTTTTCAAAAAATAATATTTATTACAATCATGGCTCAATTTTTGACTTAGTGTTTTGCAATAACAGCAATCTCGTAGTAGATATTTCTCATAAGCTTTAAGTGCCTCTTGTTTCATTTCATCCTTTCTTAAGTATCTCCTTACCTTCTTGTTTTAACTTAACTTCTTGTCATCGCTCTTAAGAATTTTTTAATTTCAAACAATCATATTCCCCTAGTATTTGTTCATTCATTGGCCAGTTCGATTGGCATGTTACCTTGCTGAGCCACGATGCTGCCTATGCTATGATCTTGTTGCATGATGCACTGCATTGTTCTATTATTGATTTTCTTCCTAAGTCTAACTTTCGTGAATCTATTTATCCAATTTGGTTTTTCAAAGACCTAAAGAAGATCTTATTCCAAAAGAAACAAGCTCACTTTATTTACAAATCATATCCTTATGTAGATAATTATAAAAAATTTTCACTTTTACGCGCTAAATTTAAATTTGAATCCAAAAATCTTTATCGATTAAAAATTTGAATCATCGTTTAAAAATAACCTGTGTAATTTTTGGAAATTTGTAAATAATAGTAATCATTAAAACAACATCCCAAAAGAATTATCCTAAAATGGTGTAACTTCATCAAACGATCAAAAAATGGCTGAATTGTTCGCCTCCTATTTTTCTTCAGAATACTCCTCCACTCATTTTGACATTGATACTGATCAATTGGGTTTAGAGACTTTTGAAAAGAGAAAAACCATAAATCACGACCCCTTCTTCATACCTATCTGATCTTCTAATTATATTTATAATGAACCAATTAAACGTTTAATGAAAAATTCCAATGAATACCCTTTTTCAATTTCAATTAAACATTTATTTTATTCACTTTTGTTTAAATGTTTGTTTTTTCTTAATGTTTATTATTTTTATATTACTGTTTTTCTTTTTTGTTTGTTTTATTATTTTTTTATTTTTTTAACTATATTTTTGTATAATAAGGGTAAATCCCATTGAATAAATAAATAATATCAATATTTCAATGATTCCCATCCCCCTTATCTTAGATGTCAATGGCCAGTCGGTGGCTTATCAGTATAACTGTGAAAGATTACAAATATTATAAAAAAAATCGAATGAGTTTATAACTTTCATGGCGCATTGTAAAATACAAAATAAGTTGTAAGGTTTCAGCCAAACAGAAGCCTACTAATTACCCACTGCCCAGGGGGGACACTGGACAGTGACCTAGTAGCCGCGCCAAGCAAGATAGTACTTGTTGACGGGGCTACTAGGTTTTAAAAAAAAAAACAAATATTAATAAAAAGAGAAAGACCATGTATAATATAATATTTTTTTCGTTTTAATTATTGAAAATTTAAATGTATAATTTTAAATATATATATTCATCAGAAAAGAGAATGAAAAAATAAAAAGAAGAAAAAGGTGCCATATATATAACATTAATAAGGGGCTTGAAAAGGGGGTTTTCCTGTTGTACTTGTTGTTGTTGTTTTCTTGAGGAGTGCCGGCCCACCACCGGCCATAGTTCGCGTCTTACGCCATCATCGACATCTCGACGTTTATTTTAACGAAAAAACGGAGGACAAAAAACTATCATATACAAAATTATTAATATACTTTACACCTACTGCACACACATCTAATTGATAAGATTTATATATTAAAAAAAACTTGTATAAATTCTGCAACATTATAAAGTGTTGCCAACTTTTAGGGTGAGACATTGTACTATCGGACCACATAAGGATTATACAAAAAAAAAAAGAAAAATAGTACATTGGAAGCAATTTAAGATAAAAAAATAGTAGGAAATTAATATGGGTTGTATTTGATGTATGTTGAGT